GGATAGTCCATTTTTTGATGCCTCTTATTCCCTTAGACTAAGTTGATTCCATCCCTTTCCTCTTCCCCTTCTAAGCTATTGTTGTCACATCTTATTCCTTCTTGTCTTGTGAGTTCGTGTGTAACATGATGAGGTCATATTTATGCTTGGTGCTTACCTTCCTTTGACCTTTGGTTTTATAATTGTTTGCTAATCTACTTTGATAGAGGACTGCAATTTTTCTGGTTTTGTCGACCTATTTTCTTCCTTGTTCAAAACTTTGAATCTCCTTTCTCTTTTTTTTCTCGTGGAGGAGGGCCTTCTTGAGCACTTCTTGTAGTGGGGGTCTTGTGGCAATGAACTCCCTTAGCTTTTGTTTATCTGGGATAGTTATTATTTCTTCATCGTATCTGAAGGATATTTTTGCTGGATAGAGCATCGTATCTGAAGGATATTTTCGCTGGATAGAGTATTCTTGGCTGAAAGATTTTGTCCTTCAGAATTTTGAATATATCATTCCACTCTCTCCTAGCCTGTAAGGTTTCTGTCGAGAAATTGGCTGAGAGCCTGATAGGAAATCCTTTGTATGTTATTTTTCTTGGTCTAGCTGCCCTTAATATTTTTTCTTTGTTGTTGACTTTTGCCACCTTTACTACTATATGCCTTGGAGAGGGTCTTTTTGTGTTGATGTATTTAGGAGATCTATTTATTTCATTCACTGGTATTTCCAGCTCCTTGCCCAGGTTTGGGAAGTTCTTATCTATTATTTCTTTGAGCAAGTTCTCTGCTCCTTTTTCCTCTCTTCTCCCTCTGGAATACTTATAATCCTTATGTTGGATTTCCTAATTGAATCGAGTATTTCTCAGAGAGTTTCTTCATTTCTTTTTAGTCTTAGTTCTCTTTCTTCCTCCATCTGGAGAATTTCTGCATTGCTGTCCTCAATATTGCTAATTCTTTCCTCCATACTGTCAGCTCTGATGCTTAACGCTTCCAGATTCGTCTTTACCTCCTCTATTGTGTTTTTATCAGATTTCTTTTTTTTTTTTTTT